AACGAACTTGCAACAGACTGCAGAAATGTCCAGTGTGTCTGTCCATCACTCACTTGAACGAACGAACGAACGAACGAACAAATGGACGAATGAACGAATGGGGGGCAGTGGACAGTGGAAGGTTGACGGCGACTGATAAACGAACGTCACACGTCAGGCGTTGCACGTTCATTCATTCATTCAGCTGCTGCTGCTGCCCCTGCTGCCCGTTTCCCCCCCTGTCCAGTTGTCCAGCTGTCCAACGGTCCCCGGACGCTCTTTTGCTCCTTTGGTCCATCTGAAGCTGAAGCTGCGGCAACCATTTGGGCGACGCTATGTGGATTGATGGCTGGACAGATTGAACGCACGTTGGCCTGCGTTGATGGACGTTTAATATGCGTTTTAGACAAGCTGCCTCTAAGGGTGTAAGGGCGTATGGCTACAGTGTGTGTGTGTGTGCGTGCGTGTGTGTGTGTGGGTGTGTGAACTGCAACGCTTGCATGACCATGGACTCTGACCGCTGACCATAGAGATGGGCGGCACAATTACAAATGGCGTGCTAATCACGATTTCATGAGAAGCGCAGAGGAGAGCTCTTCACAGTTTACATTACACATACATCTGGTTGGATTGGACTTTCATATATTTGTTTATATTATTTAATTTATTCAAATTCAATTCAAAAAAAAAGAGATGGAGATGAAATAGCAATAAAAAAGAAAGGAAGAAGTAAAATTAGCTTCAAATAATAATCAATTAAAATTAAAATACCTAAATAATAAAAAATAAAATATAATTGAAAGCTAAACGAACAAAGTTGTCGAACACGATGTCGATAAAGACATAAATAAGCCGTTAGAAATTACAAAAATATCCAATAATGAATCCGACTGTGCCGATTTAAAAAAAAGAAATGGATATGAAATAGCAATAAAAAAGAAAGGAAATTAGCTTCAAAGAATAATAAATTAAATTAAAATACCTAAATAATAAAACATAAAATATAATTGAAAGCTAAAAGGTGGAGAATAACTGATCCGGTGGAGGTCTAAAATATATAAATTTTAAATAAATAATAATATTATTAATGTTCAACGATATAGAAACACTTTAAGCTGTAGTTTCATATACTTAGTTTATGACAAAAAAATACTATAATAAGAGTTTTATTAAAAGAAATTTAAATTAAAAACTAAAAACTAATATACCTAAATAAGAAATGATAAAATATAATTGAAAGCATCACTGATCGGGTGGTGGTCCATAATATATAAATTTTAAATAAATAATAATATTATTAATGTTTAACGATATACAAACACTTTAAACTGTTGTTTCAGATACTTAGTGTATGACAAAAAAAAGCTACAAGATGTTTTTTTAAAAGAAATTTTAAATGAAAAACCAGTAAAGAAGTTCTGAAAATATTACAATAGGGAGAGAGGCCGATCGACTTCGAAATCAAAAAGCACTATAAATCTATGAGATTATGAAGTGATGGATGGATTGAATATATTGATGGCAAGATGGTGCACATTTTTGAAGCCAACTAAAATAATTGTATAGCTTTAAATGTAGGTTGGTCTTTAAAAATAGATTTTAGTGAATAGTTCAACATGTTAGGCTATAAATTCATTTAAATTTATTGAAGTACAGAGTGTTATCTTCGAAGATTATTCGATCGATTGAAAAAATGAAAGTAATGAATGAAAATTACTTTCAATAAGTTCCTCTTCCACAATTGTTGTTAACTATCGGTGGGAATACTAGTGGGAGAAATGTCCATCTCTAGCTCGCTATTGGCCTCTGCTTCTGGCGATTTCGTGTCCGTGTAGCTGGCCAGCACTGCTGCCGCTATTGCTGACCAATGCGTGTGTCTGCGTGCCTCGGCGTTTCTGCAACGCCTGCAAATGTATTTTGGTATCTGCAGCACGACACGGCAGAGCACGACTCGGAACGGCAGAGCACAACACAAATTCGTCATGGCTAAGTGTGTAGCATGCATGCATGCATGTCTGCGTGCGTGCGTGTGTGTGTGTGTGTGTGTGTGTGTGTGTGTGTGTGTGTGTGTGTGTGTGTGTGTGTGTGTGCATATGTGGGTAACAGCAACAACAACAACAACTGCTGTCGTTCCATTGTTTAGTATTAAATGCTATCACGCTGCCGTGTTGCCATTGTTTCCCATCCTACGCCACGAAAACAGCAACAACCACAACAACAACAACAACAATAATAAGAACAACAACTACAAGACTATAAGCAATACCAACAGCAACAACAACAACAATAAACTGTGGCGTAGGTGTGAATGCGCGCACATGTGTCAAAAGTCGAACAAAAGGGTCCAGAACCAGAGCACTGCCATCCCATCCCCACCAATTGGCCAACGAATATCGCTTAAAGGCTCACACCCACACACACACGCACACACACGCACATGTACATTTGCAATATAACATTAATAATGTTGCCCAATATTAGACACGCATTTTAACTTTCATACATGGCGTGTTTATCTAGTCTTTATGGTCCTTGCCCCCCTCCCATGCTTCACACAATCTATTTATAAAGACCGATTTTACATAGATCATGTGTAATAAATCGTCGATATAAAGTCTAGAACTTGAAAATTAGACATTAAGTTGTAATTACTCCATTTATTTAATTAGCTGCACTCTCCAGTTTAGTTTTCCTCGCAATTGTTCAGTTTTGTATTTTCTTATCTAAACTTCTCTGAACATTAATTCACAAAGAATACTTACAATGTTCGGAGAATATGTTAAAATATTGACTTATCCCAAACGTTGCATCGAATATCCGATACGTAAATGCAACTTTCCATTCCGACTGAAAAAGTTGTCACACCAGCTTCTTCTATCGCCCTCCAGGTTGTTACAAATGGCATTCATAAATAGGATTTTGCAAGCTAAGAAATAGCAATTCCATCTGATTTTTTCTGAGATCAAATCCTTAAATTCTGCGTGTTGTTGGTATGGGGACTTTTTAGCTTTTCAGGACATCTTGGGCATCTTTAAAAAATCGTGAAATTTGTTAGCCGCTCTTTTCGTCAAAGTTCCAGTCTTTTTTTTTCGCCTTTTGATTCGTTTGGTTAAAAAAAAAAAAAAAAAATGGGAAATGATCTCGCAGATCAATCGTATAGCTTAGAGTGGAAAATATGCAGAAGCAATTTTTTATATTTATTGATTTCCATTTCTATTCGGGTAAAAGAAAGAAAAACACACGATTTTTGACATTTTTTTATTTTTATATTTTGTGTTTTTTTTTGCTCATCAAATTTTTATTTCTGTTTTTCATTTGTTTTCATATTCTTTTGTTAACAATTTGTGTTTATTTATGTATTATTTATTATTATTGATTTTTCTTGCTCTCTCTCTCATTCAATTAAAGTTTTCGTTTGTTTTGCTCTTTTCTTGCACATACATGTTGTTATTATATATTCATGGTAAATATACGATTTTGTTTTTGTTTTTACTGTTGCTGTTGTTGTTGCTGCTGCTGTTAATAAACTTACACATTAAGCTAACACTAAATACTTTTTACAATAATAATAATAATAATTTTAATAGGGTGACACGGCCATGCGAGGCCATAATATCAATTCGAAACTCAAATCGGTAGCTGATCGATCTCGCCATATATACTATAATGTTTCCTTTTTGTTTTCTGCGATTCCTCTGCGATTCATTTAGTTATATGTTCACATACATATATCTTTGTATATATATATATTACGCTTGTTGTTATATTTTTCGCTAGTTTTACATTTCCTTTTGATATTACATTTAATTAGCATTCGCAAGTGTTTTCCTTCTTTCTTTTGTTTATATATATATTTTTGTATAATAAATTACGTTGCTTACTAGCTAGGACCACAAAAAAAAAAAAAAGTTTGCTACTTGTGTTGGTTGTTGTTTTTGCATATTTAATATATATACTATATATATACCGGATGCATATATATAAACATACATATGCACGTATGTATGTATATGTACCTTTTCAATATGTATATGCGCTATATAGTCATATGCCTTGTATATATGTATGTGTGTGTATATATATATAACTTAAGGCCTAGCGAACTACACAAGTATATATGCCTAGTTACGATTATGTTGTTAGACAACGATTATATATATATATATATATATATGCAAATATATATATATATATTTATAGAATTACAATAATGCAGACAAATAATAAAAGAACATTTTTTAAATTAAATTTGAAAAAAAAAATACGTTTTAGTTTATGAAAAAGGGTGCTAATTTACAAAAATTGTTTAGGTTGAGTTTGTTGCTAATGCCGCTTCTGCTTTCTACGCTTCACGCGACTCTTCAGCTACGTGTTTGTTTTTCTTTTTTGTTTCATATCTCATATTTTACACAGATACACATAAATATTTGTTATTATTTATATAAATTACAGACAAGACGTTTAGGTTTTTTGTTTTTCCATTTCGTTTTACTTTAGCATTGTTTTACATTAGTTTAAGCATAAATTAAACAAACAAAAAAAAAATGTTGGTGCAGTGCCCATTTTAAATTTACAAGAGATTTTTAAAAGAGTTTTTTTATTTCATTTGTTTTTTCCTTTGCTACAAATTTTTTAAAATAATTTACAAATAGCTATTTGTTTAATATTTTGACACAGCGGCTTTGCTTGATATAAAAAAATAGGATTTTGCACACATTTTATAGTATATATATAAAAAAAAAAATATACATAATTTTTGCCAAGCTAAAAAAACAACAACACTAAGCAGCTGTTTTTTGGCGTTGCATTTCATTTCCCCTCTCATTTAAATGCGAGCGAGGGAGCGGCGAATCAAGCGAGCGCACGCCTCGTGCGCGACTGTGTTTGTGTGTGTGCGAGAGAGCGCGCGTGCAAGCGAGATGGCGAGTTTGTTGCTTTGGCGCAGTGGGCGGCGGCGTTGCCAGCAGCGGCGCAGCAGCAGCGATGTCGACGCGCAATGCGCTCTTCAACATTTACTGTTGCTCTTGTTCTAGTTGTTGTCATTCTATAATTGTTGTTGTTGTTGTTACTGTTCTTGTTGTTGTTGTTGTTGCAAACGCGCGTTACTCCTCAAATGCGGCAGATTGGTGTTGTTGTTGTTCTTGCTGCTGCTGTTGTTGCTGTTGCTGCTGAGTGTATGTCTTGAGAAACAGCAAGCGCGTTGCCAACTGTTTTGTATATTACCAAACAAGCCCTTCGTTTTGCATATTCTGCGGTTCACTGAAATTCGCCGAGCTCATGAATTCGGGTGAAGCGGTGCGCGGGCCATTTTGTTGCTGTTGCTGTTGCGGCGTTTGGCTTGACTGCTGAGCATTCTGTGCCGCCTGCTGTTGTTGTTGCTGTTGCTGCTGCTGTTGTTGCTGCGCTGCCGCCTGTTGCTGAGCGGCCAACAAATGTTCCGCTGCCGTTTGGGGCGGCGGAGGCGGCCCCACAGCCGTCTGCAGCTGCATGGGCGGTGCGCCCGCCTGACTCAGAAACGTCGACTCGGGCGTCAGGCCAAACTCATTGACCATGGGTATGGGACCGCTGTGATCCATGGGACCGCCTGAAAAAGTTTCAACAAATAACGAAACATTAGAATCGAAGTACACATCCAATACTATATTCCCTAATCAAATTATTGATCTTAACGCCTGTTATATGTATCTGATTAATATATTTTTCTCTAATGCTGCACGAAAAAATTGACTAAGTGGTCCTTACTGGCTCTAAGTCCAACAATTATGAAGAAATTATAAAAAAATAACAGTTTATTGAAAGCTCTAACTAGCGTTAGCGAATATGTAGAAATTTAAACGAGCTAAATACACTATCTATCTATCTACTTGTATCTATCTATCTATATATATATCTATCTATCTATCTATCTATCTATCTATCTGTCTATCTATCTTTTTATCTATCTATATATCTAGCTATCTATCTATATATCTATCTATCTATCTATCTATCTATCTATCTATCTATCTATCTATCTATCTATCTATCTATCTATCTATCTATCTATCTATCTATCTATCTATCTATCTATCTAACAATCTATCTATCTATCTATCTATCTATCTATCTATCTATCTATCTATCTATCTATCTATCTATCTATCTATCTATCTATCTATCTATCTATCTATCTATCTATCTATCTTTCTATCTATCTATCTGTCTATCTTTCTACCTTTCTATCTTTCTATCTTTCTATCTTTCTATCTTTCTATCTTTCTATCTTTCTATCTTTCTATCTTTCTATCTTTCTATCTATCTATCTATATATCTATCTATCTATCTATCTATCTATCTATCTATCTATCTATCTATCTATCTATCTATCTATCTATCTATCTATCTATCTATCTATCTATATATCTATCTATCTATATATTTCTAAATTCTTATTGGGGAGTATTCCGGACTTTGTGGCATTTGGTCATCTATGGTCATTATTCAGGACCCATTAATCATTCTCAATATGCTATTTGGCTCCCAAATTTTAAAACTGAATACGTTTTTTCTAAATCATATCATTTCTGGGACAGCTGACATGGTCAGTCGAAAACTGTGGCAGTAATAGTGATTGAAACAGACAGCCGGACATCGTGATTCGGATTCTTTAACGAGTACTTATAAGATCTCATCTACCACTCAGCCTTCTGGGTATTACAAACTTGAACACCAAAGAGATGGGCATATACTTGTAAAACTAAATTGAAAGTTCATAAATATTTAGTGTGCTATGTTTAGATATGTACCTAGATACATACCTGGCGCATTGAAGGGCATGGGTCCGCCCGGATGTCCCGGAAAGAAGGGCCCGTCGTGCGGATGGAAGGGTCCACCATAACCGAACTCGAACTTAGCGTCTGCTGCAAAATAGGGAAAGCCGGGACCATCGTCTAGGCCGCCCGGCGACAGATTCATGGGGAAGCCACGCATTTTGCGTGCTCCACCAAAGAACGGGGGTCGGCCCATGCTGGTTATTTGTTTCATGCGACGCTCCTTGGACCGTTTGTTCTGGAACCAGACCTGTCAATAAAAACAACAAAAACAAGCGTTTAGTAAGTAATTGCGTGAGTTTCATTTTATAGAGTTTACGTTTATGTACTGTTCTAATTGTTGTTGTTGCTATACGTTATGGAGAACTACCGTCGTCAGGCAATGGCAAAAATTAGCCAACCACGCAGCAAGCGATCTACACTCAACAAAATCATATAAAGTCTAGGGAAACTAAAGTAAAATTGTTAAGTGGTAATAAATAAAAGAAACCATTATCAAAACTGTCTAATATTATGATGAAGTATTATTATTATATTTATAATAATTCATAAAAATTCTCCAACATTATGACATTTTCAAAGACTGTTGGTTGAGGTACAGGAAAAGTGTTTCTATCAAGGGCGTACGCGCTTTTGTCAAAATGAAAATTTTGATCAAATAATGCACGATGAGTTTAAATAATAATTTAAATAATGATCCATAAAAGAAACTTCAACAAATCCAATTCAGTTCCATTTAAAGGCGAAATAGTGCGTCATAATTATAGCAAATTTCTTTTTACGGATATATACTACTTGTATATATATATAAGGATATATACTATATACTATTAGCATAAAGAGGCGAGTGGAGGCATTATTTATTTTCCCAATTTTTCCATTTATATATATTTTGCTCAATCTTTTGCAAATAATCGATCGCTTTTCTTGTCGTGTATGAGCCAATTGGTCGGTCGACTATTGAACTGGTCCGGTCGGTCCCAGCCATTGCGGATTTTATGACGTTCTGCATCGTTGCGGTTCCGTCTTTCGGTAGACGGTACGAGTATTCGGTATTTGGCATTCGGCATTGGGCATTGGGCTGCTCCAGAAGCAGAAGCCTCGTGCCCAGCATGCAAAGTTATAAAATAAAAACATATTTCAAAATTTTTAGTGGCACCTTTCCAGCTTGAGCTCGTCTTTTGTTTTTTCTGCACGCCTTAATATTCATATTCATATACGAGTATATATGTATATGTATATACTATATATTTTTTTTTTTTGCCGTTGCTTGGGCAGTTTTTAATGATCTTCTGCGCTGAAAATTTATTTATTTTCAGATTTTTTTTTACTGCGTCTGTCGACTGAGTTCTGTTCTGTTACTGATGTTGTTGTTGTTGTTGTTGTTTTTGTTTCGTTCAAAATTTTCTCAATGAAATTTTTGATTTATGCGTTTTGTTTTTGGTTGATTTTTGGGGTTTCTTGCGTTTTGCTTTTTTGCATTTGCGATATTTTGGCAAATAGTTTCCAATGAATTTTGCTTAGATATTGTTGGCCAGGTTCGCAAGGAGAAGAAGGCTTTGGTGCTACAGCTGTTGAGCTTTGTTTGTTGTTGTTGTTGTTGCTGTTGCTGTTGTTGTTGTTGTGATGTTGTTCTTAGAGGCAATTTAAGCGTGAATTTTAATGACGAGCGCCGCGTCTGCAGTTCATTTGAATTTGCGCGCTTTTATGAACTCCAAACGACTGCTCCTCCAAGGGGATAGATGGATGGATGGACGCTAACAGACACACACACACACACACACACAGATACAGTTGATGGGCTTTCGCTTTAGCTAGACGTGGCCACACACATATACATGCATATTTATTTAATATACATATCTACATATGTATGCATATTCTCATGCCACACATTTGTGGTGGGCCCTTCACATTTATAAACTGACATTTTGTGCCGCAACGAATTTCGCTAGAAAATGAAAAAAATATACAAGAAATGCGTTCAACTCCTCTCTCCCTCTGTCCCTCTCTCCGTCCCCGTCTCCGTCTCCGCGCTTATCTGCGTCTCGGTGTCTGTATGAGAGACAGTTCCGTAAGCCCCCGTAGCCTGAGAACTTTTCAAAATCTGCGTCTGACTTGTCGGCGCAGGATGCACAAAAGGAAGTAACATGCTGTGCATAGCTGGGATTTGAACAGCACAGCATTATGTGCGAGTATGTTTCTCGGTGTTGTTGCTGTTGTTGTTGTTGTTGGCGTTGGCGTTGCTGCAATACCACCATAAAAAGAAAGAAGAAAAAAAATTGAAAACGTCGTCGGAGACAAGCCCAAGACTTGTCTAAACTCAATGCGATGTTAGACAACAAAGCGTACCGAGTCGGATATTCGGATGTTCAGTTTATAACTTCTGTAATTTCACGCCGGGATTCCAATCCGCAAAAAAACCATACTGTACTATATATTTCATTGAGCTATTAAGCCTTTAAGAATGTGCACATCGTGCAAACAGATTTTATGGATTTATTGGCGCAGCACTTTCTATTCCCAAATCGATGACAGCCTGCAGTTTCTTTTCGAATGAGAGAATGGAGCAGTGTCCGAGTGTTTAACAAATATATCTACTTGAACTTTCAAAACAAGAAACAGATGATCTCTTTTTTATAGGTATTTTGTAGATCTGTCGCGGTACATCTAGCTGATCTTGTTGTCCATTAACATGGAGAATCAGAAGTTTTTCAGAACGTTACAGAATTTCATTTCATTTGTAATGAAAATGAAATTACGTCTTGATTATAGAAGAGTTGTGATGCAACTTTTTCAACTACTTGTATGTATTTATATGGTATGACGTATTGGTCTCCATTCTCGACACACACAATAATAACACATTTATAATTTTTTGCATTATTTAAGCGTAAAATTGTTAGGATTATGCAATGCATAATGTGTTGTGCATCTGTTAAGAATATGGGGAAGATAATTTCTTGTTGTACTCCAAGGAACTGTAAAATTAAGACGACATAAAAGGGAAGAAGTTTCGACACTCTCGAGAATAAATTTGTGGAGGAGCACCTCTCCGCAATGAAAGTCCTCCGGTTAAGTAGCTATGATTTTCAAGTTAGAAAGTTTTAAAGAATCTGCAATACTCTGCCTGCCAGATCGGCAAATAGTTGCATTCTACAAATATTCGGTTGTAAGGTAAGCCTTATCTAAAGGAAAGTCTGTTTCTTTTAGTGTAGAATCATCATCATCTTGCTTCCAATTAAAGTGACATTATACGAGTATTGTAGACTTGGTTGGCGTAACAAATTTGCGGACAAATTATTTGCTTTTGTGACCATAGCCTCTCCTATGCCATGCTCTTTTAATTGAAGCAGACTCGCTGAAGTTCTGCTTATATATAGTTGCTTGAATATTATTGGCATGGTTTGGTAGTCTAGAATTTGGAGAAATGCATCTGCTCTAAATGCTATAAAAATATATATATATAATCCTGCATTACTTTCAATGAAAAGACAGATCGACTTTAGGAGGAGCCTGTCGTTTAGTTTTAGCTGAGGTCCTTTGCTATCCAGACTCTATAACTGTTTACCCCAATCAACGAGCTCGGTCTCCCTATACATATTCGTATATATAGAATGCACAGTTAACGGCATTAACTGCCGTGCTTCATCATTGCAGACTGCAGCCAAGTTCGAATATAACACTCCAAGTATGGCGCACGGCACTTATTCAGTCTGCGGCAATAAACTAAACGCTCTTTTGACCATTGCTGAGCCACGTAAGGCCGCGTCATACTATAAAGCAGCACATTTATCAAATGGGAGTTAAGGGCGCTGCTATACGAGTACATTTACTACATTTACTATATAGCAGTATTTGCACAATCGCTGCACTTGGCGTTTTCCGACTCTTCAGCCCACATTTCAATTACCATTCGCATTCGCCATAATAAATAAAAATGTGGCGTTCAGGCTGTTACGATAACGCACCAAACTAGTATATATACTATACATATGTATATATGCATATTTACAAGTAGATATATATATATATATATATGGATGGATGTGTGCGAATATTTTCCAATATCTTTGCGCTGAACAAACTGCAGTTCAGTTTGCGAGGCCCTGCGGTCACATAATTTTTCATATGCGCCAGAAAGCAAAAATATAGCACACTATATACATACATATATATAGAAAAAAATAAAATAAACAACGAGTAGGAAAGGAAATAAAAATAGAAATAGAAATTGCCGTCGCCTCTCAAACTAAAACATGTATTTGCAATAGTAGTTTTGCATTTGTTGCTGTTGTTGTTGCTGTTGTTGTTGCTGTTATTCCCTTTGTTGGTTATTTTATGTTGGCGGCTCCATTGTTTACCCTCCTCGACCAAAAGAAAATCAGCAACATATTCGCCTTTTCCCCCCTTTTTTGTTTTTGAAGTGTGCGGAGTGCAAAAAATGGCAATTGTTTGTGGGTATGTGGGTCCCAGATATGCGTATAAAGCGTTAGTTTCGACCTCGCAGTCCCCCCTCCTCCTGCTCGTTGCACTCCTTTTTCTTTTATTTGTAATATTTATTATTTTGCTTTTCCACTTTCCATGCATATGAGATGGAGAGAGAAAAGAAAATGGCCAAAGGCGCCAACAAAGTTTTGTGAATTCTCTCTGTGTGTGTGTGAGTATGTGTGTGTGTGTGTGTGTGTGTTTGCAACAATTTCAATTGCAGTTGCGCGTGTATATTTTAATTTTAGTTTTTCATATTTACTTTTGAGCGCAGCCGCCGCAGCCGCTGCCACAGCCGCCTTGGGCCTTGATTCGCCTTTATCTTGCAGAAACTCAGAGCTCAGAGCTCAGAGAATGAGAATCCTGCGCCAGCCTCACAAAATTCAGACAACAGTTAGTACTGCCTATATAGGCAGGCTACGATAAATACAAGCAAAGGACTTTGCCGCTGCAGACTGGACAATCGATCAGATCTTTCTTGGAGGCACTGCCTGTCCACAATTTGGAAAGCCTGGCAAAAGGCGAGTATAATAATCTCTCAGTGCTGGCAAAAGCATAACTTTGAAGGACGTTACATAAGTAATCAGCTGGAGAAGAGCTTCAAATACGATAAATGGAGCTTCATTACGCATGCATTTAATGGACTGACAGACTTGGTTATATCGAGTCCATGTATTGTCATACTGATCAAGCATATATACATAAATACTTTATGGGGCCTATCCACCTAAACGCATTCAATTTTCACTCGACCCTAGATCT